TGCTGTCCTTTACTTCTTGTTGCCCCTGCTCCTCATACTAGTGGTCTACTGCAGCATGTTCCGAGTAGCCCGAGTGGCTGCCATGCAGCACGGACCGCTGCCCACGTGGATGGAGACCCCCCGGCAACGCTCTGAGTCTCTCAGCAGCCGCTCCACCATGGTCACCAGCTCGGGGGCCCCCCAGACCACCCCGCACCGGACGTTTGGGGGAGGGAAGGCAGCAGTGGTCCTCCTGGCTGTAGGGGGACAGTTCCTGCTCTGTTGGTTGCCCTACTTTTCTTTTCACCTCTACGTCGCCCTGAGTGCTCAGCCCATTTTGACCGGGCAGGTGGAGAATGTGGTGACCTGGATTGGCTACTTCTGCTTCACTTCCAACCCTTTCTTCTATGGATGTCTCAATCGGCAGATCCGGGGGGAGCTCAGCAAGCAGTTTGTCTGCTTCTTCAAGCAGGCGCCGGAGGAGGAGCTGAGGCTGCCTAGCCGGGAGGGCTCCATTGAGGAGAACTTCCTGCAGTTTCTTCAGGGCACTGGCTGTCCCACGGAGTCCTGGGTTTCCCGACCTATACCCAGCCCCAAGCAGGAGCCACCTGCTGTTGACTTTCGAATCCCCGGCCAGATAGCTGAGGAGACCTCTGAGTTCCTGGAGCAACAACTCACCAGCGACATCATCATGTCGGACAGCTACCTCCGTCCTGCCCCCTCACCACGACTGGAGTCCTGATGGGCTGCTGGACACTTGGAGGGAGATGGGGCTGGGGGCCGGTTAGGACCGCAAGGAACTCCTTGTGGGATCACCTTTTCCCAGCTAGCTGGGGCTGGGGGTCTCTGCACACAGCTTTCGCTTAGTGTTTTCTGGGTCAGGAACAGAGCCAACTGGATGGATATGTGGCAAAAGCCTTGGACATGGCTGTGAGCCTTGACTACTGGGGGAGGGAATCTGGTGAGATGGTGACGAGAATAAAGGGTCAAGAAGGTGAGATGATGCCTCTCAACCAATGAACTTTCCATGACCCAGGAAGCAGGGAAACTCTAAGGGTAGGAGTTGGAAGATATAGGGCAGCAGACCAGGCTTGGAGTTATTCTGGGGACCCTTTAGGATCTTTCATTTTTCAGTGTAATTGTCCAGGGCAGAAATTGCACTCAAGCAAGGTAAGAAAATGACCCATGTCTTCTCATTTCCTTGCTAGGTTTAAAAACAACTAAATTACAGCCAAGTCTTTCCTTTGAGTTAATAGATTTTTTTTTCTAGTTTTAAACCTGAGGTTTCCTTAAAGCCAGAGGACCAGCTGGGTATATTCCTTTCTTGAGTTTGGCCAAGCAAGGGGAAATAGCAATCAGGGCACACAGAGTAGAAGAGAGGAAAGCTGACTGCAGCTCTCTCTCTCCCACCCTCCAGGAACAGCCGTTCTGTCGTATTTTTCAGTTTCTCTTTTGGACATGGGAGATCAAGTTTGGGGCTTGATCTTAGCAGAGGCAAGAATAAAGCAGGATGGTTTTTCTCTTTGTCTTTTAGGATGAAGAAGTGGAAAGACTGGGGGTTGGATGGCTGAAGGTGGGGGTTAGCATTTGAATCGCTAAGGTGGTTGGATACAGAGAGGCCTGTAGTAACCCAGACCAATAATACTGTAAATCTTTTTCTTCCAGAGCTGGCCTCCCTGATCTCTCTCCTCATGGCAGTGACCCATCACCAGCCCTCTGGACAATCGGGTACAAGAGACTAAGGTTGGGAATGGGAAAGGTGGGGTTTCCATGGTTCATTAAATGCCTCCCTACTCCCATTCATCGCTCTCAAAATTAGCTTCAGTAGCAAAGACTTAAATCTCTCTCCTATCTGCAGCCCTGGGTTGGAGAGGGGGCACGGGAGTTGGGCTCAGCTGTTCACTGATTGAGACTGTAGGAACTGTGTTGGGTGGTCTTGGTGGTGGTATATTCAAGGGAGGGGGAATAATCGCAAACCGGACAGGACACCCATCTAGGACTACCCATCCGTCCACTTCCCTCAATTCAATCAGGTCACATTAGAGAGTTGAGGCAGGACCACATGGTGGTGTGATCTGTATTTGAACAAATTCCTGGCTTGACTGAGCATCAAAGAGGAAGATGGCTTGGTGGGAGTGGGACAGTTTCCCCTCTGAAAGTTAATAAATAATTTTTATTATAAAAAGTTATGCTGATATCAACATTTGACTCCCTCAGTTCAACTCAGTGCATGATAGTTGAATACCCTATTCTCTGGGACTCACACAGAGGATTTGGAGTCACTGCCTTCAAGGAGTTCACAGTCTAATTTGATCAGGTACCTTGTATTTTGACAGAGCATTTACATATGGTAAAGCACTATGGAATGTGTTAAGAGAAATATACTGAGGAATATGTTCATGGTTCTAACTTCTGAGAGTTCAGCCTATTGCAGCAAGATGCCTATATGGAGGCTTCCTGCAGATTGAAAAGTCTGGGGGCTGTAGATGAAACTCTGGTTGAAGAAAATAATTTATTGCATGAAACTGGGCAGCTTCTCCTCCTCAGATCTAGGAAATTTTCCAAGTTTCTGTCTTCCTACCACTAGACTTACTCTAGTCCAGTGCTTATTACATTGAGGAAATCCCTTAGATGATATGTACATCGAGGAGAGTCTTTTGCGATTGAAATGCATGTTCTCCTCCTCTCTCTCCTCCTTCTAAAGATAAATTCATAAGGGAGGAATCTCATTCCTAGTTAGGGGGAAAACTTCTTCCGAACACCACTGATGAGCTAGCGGGCCCTAAACATTGCCAGCAGGTGGCAGTGTGAGTCCAGTGGAGCTAGGAAAGATGAGTGCAGGTGGGGAGGGGGAGGGGGGGGACATGAAACACTGCCTGGCAGCCATTTTGTTAACTTATTTTGCCTTTTCTTTGACTTTGCCCTCCAACTCTTCATTCACATACATCAAAGGAGAAAATCTTAAGTACAAGAATATGGCAAATTCAGGCTGAAGTTTCCTGACACTGTGATCTCACTGGTGTTTATTACAGAATTTGACAATATGCTGGTTCATTTGCCATTTATTTTTCCCGGAGTGGATCATGAAGGAAATAAAATTTTCTCTTCTGTTATGCTGAGAACTTTCCCAACAATTTGTCATGACCACCTTCCAGGGGTTTTCTAATCACCAGGATCACCTGGTAAAGTTCCATATGTAATTCTTAGCTGTGAAAGCCATTCCTGGACAAAATTTGACCTCTAAATCCATTGAAGAAATCAACAGGTTGAGAAAACCGTGCTCTCAAGTTATTTTTTTCCTGCACCCTGGTGGTGTTGGGGTAACTTTCAATCCTAGATGAAAACCTTCTGTTGTCAGGTCTCCCAGGTAACATCTTACAGCAGCATGGTAGAAAAGGAGTGAATTTGGAGTCAGATCTACTTACTCACTGTGTGAACTTGGGAAAGATGCTTAATTTCTCTGAGCCTGTCTCCTCATCTGTAAAAATGGGGATATTAACCTACCTCACAGGGTTGTTGTGAGGAATAAAAGAGATGACACATGGAAGCACCTAGCCATACCTGGCAAATAGGTACTCAATAAATATTGGTTTTTCTTCCCTTTCCTCTTGCCCTTTTTCCCCATAAGTATTATGGGAAAGCAGTCCCTTTTAGTCTAACGGTCACTTGGAAAAGAGTAGACTCCGAACTTTAAAGAACTGGCAATAATAAATTATGGTGGATGAGGCTGTTTAAGGTGATTCTCAAGAAATTCCTCTAATGATCATCAATCACCATATAGACCTTTCTGTTTGGACCGTATATTCTAAGGTTTAGGTTCTATTGGGGAGATATTTAATCGTAGG